TGAAATTTGCCATTTTAACCACATCTAAGTGCACAGCTCAGTGGCACTGGGCACATTCACGTGTGTGGCCGTCACCACTGCCCTCTCCAGGACTGTCCCATCTCCACATTGACACTGTCCCCGCCACACACTAACTGCCCTCCCTCCCAGCCCCCGGCACCCCCTGCGCCCCCATCTGTTTTCTGTCGCTGTGATTTCGCCCACTTTAGGAGTCTCGTGTAAGGCGGATCACACAGTTTTTCCTTCTGTGGCTTCTTTCGTGTAGCAGGATGTGCTGAAGGCCCATCCGCATTGCCGCGCGTCAGGGCTTCCTTCTTTTTAAGGCTGAACATTCCCCGTTGTGTGGATGAAGCACTTTGCTTGTCTGGCATTCGGCCCCGGATGCCTGTGCTGTTCCCACCTTCTGGTTCTTATGAATACTGTGCTGTGAACGCGGGCACCAGACGCCGCTTCCGAGTCTCTCCCTGTCCCGCTTCCAATCGTTTGGGGTAAGTACCGAGGAATTGACTTGTGTCGACTGAAAACTAACACTGACCAGGTGTTTTGTTACCAGAAAGGATTTATTTGGGAAAAGAGGGTCGTCAGCTGGCGCAGCGAGCCTATAAGGAGGGAGGAAGTTAAGGGGTGGGAGTTAGCGCCCTGGGCTTTCGTGATAAACGCAGTTCTCACTGGAGCGAGCTTGGGACCTGGGCGCAGAGCCGGGGTCCCTGCCCATCAGCCCGGCCCGCCCGCTGGTGGTTGGCTCCCAGGGCCGTCTGCCCGTCTTGTCACCTGTGGGTCCCTGAGCTCTGTGTCCCACCGCGGCCACAGCACTGTGCTTCCCCCCACAGAGCACGGCGCCCTTCCGCACGTCCCTCCAGCACTAACGGCCACCCTCCCTGGTGTGAAGTGCCATCACCGCGCTGGGGACACATCTTGCTTGTCGTCACCCTTTCAGGAGCCTCGGGAAAGAACATGTGCTGTTTTTCTCAGGTGTGAGTTGCTGTGAGCCTGGTTTGTACCCGCCAGTCCGTCTCCAGTCTTTAGAAGGAGAGGTTGTACCCAAGGCTTTTTCTCCTCGCTTTCCAAAAATGCCACCTGTGGCGTCCACGCGCCTGGACCTGCCCCTCTCTTAGCTCGGCGGCCCCTCGCGCGCACGGCCACCTGGGAGTCGCTGACGTGCGTGCATCGTGGCCGTGTGCCCAAGATGTCACCTCATCTCCAGCCATTTGCCAGGGCCACAGCTGAAACAGGCCGCGTAAGCGTCTGTGGGTGCGTGTTCCTACAGGGAGGACGTTTGTTTTAATGGGACCGGCCTCTGGCGGAGGGTGGCGTGGGGAAGGGTGGGTAGATGCTAAATATGCTTCCGAAATCCCGGCTGCTTTCCCGGCGACTGTGGGCACCCACCTTTCCGCTCAGACTGAGAGGACGTCTTCCCCACACTTGGCGGCAGCGGGCATCCTCACGCGGGCCCCTTGGCACGCTGTCCTCCCTCTGCCCTGCGCCGGGCCACCGTGATGTGTCTGTCACTAGACTAGCTTGCACTTGTGTTTACATAAGTGCAATCCTGCCTGGCTTCCCCTCGGTGTAAAGATCTGGAGTCTCGCGCTGTGACGGCAGTAGCTCACGCCTTCTGGTGGCTGAGTGGATGCGCCTGTTTGTGATGGACTTTTGAGGGGGTTCTCGTTTGGGGAGTTAGACAGATTCCCAGTCCTGTCTGTGTGAGAACCCCCGTCCCCATTTCTATAGGGTAAATACCTAGGTGTGGAGCTGCTGGGTCGTGTGGTAGGCGTGTGTCATTTTACAAGAAACCACCAGACTCCTCCACAGTGGCTGTCAGGTGCCCCCCAGCCACGGTGGACGAGGATGCCAGCTCCTGGCGTCCCCGCCAGCACTTGGGGTGCTCCATCCTCTCTCTTCATTTTGGGACCCAGGAGGCATGTGGTGGTTTCTCCTTGTGGGCAAGTTTGCAGCCCTACTGACTGTCCTGTTGAAGTCATTTGTGCATTTTTTCTTGCACTTCTTTGTTGAAGCATCTGTTCCAGTCTTTTGTCTCTTAAAAACCAGGTTGTTTGTGTTCTTGTGACTGAGTTGTAAAAGTTCCTTATGTCTTCTGGATATATGTATTATCAGATACATGCTTTGTAAATACACGATGCTGGACAATTAAGTTTGCGATCTCATCCTAGAAAAAGTGCTCCATACCTCATTGCTGAATTTCACTATGGTCACCTATGAAGTACTCCCCTTGGGAAGCTATGCACCAACGCAAGTGCCTAGTCCACCCTTCAAAGCAATTTTGGAACTCTTTCTGGAATGGCCATCAGAGCTGTCTTCGTATTACCCTTGATGTCCTGAATGTCATCAAAATGTCTTCCTTTCAATATTTCCTTTATCTTTGGGTTAAGAAAGAAGTCATTGGGGGCCAGGTCAGGTGAGTAGGGAGGGTGTTCCAATACAGTTATTTGTTTACTGGCTAAAAACTCCCTCACAGACAGAGCCGTGTGAGCTGGTGCATTGTCGTGATGCAAGAGCCATGGATTGTTGGTGAAAAGTTCAGGTCATCTAACTTTTTCATGCAGACTTTTCAGCACTTCCAAATAGTAACTTGGTTAACTGTGTGTCCAGTTGGTACAAATTCATAATGAATAATCCCTCTGATATCAGAAAAGATTAGCAACATCATTGCAACAAGTTAGGCCACTTAATTGTCCAACCTTCGTATTCTCAGTCTGTGGCTTGCCGTTCCTTTTTTTTTCTTTTTCTTTTTTTTAAGATTTTATTGGGGAATTGGGGGAGGAGAACAGCGCTGGGAAATTGGGGGAAGGGGAAAAGACAAGTTGCTGTCCTTTTGTTCCTCAGTCTAGTTGTGGAGGACGTCGCTTCACTGGTCCATGTTGGTATTATCATTGCGCTCTTCCTGGGTGAGGCAGATCAGTC